CCTTCCTACTCCATCATCCCCTCCTCCTCCTCCTCCTCCTGCCCCCTACTCCTCCATGACCTTCTTCATTCTATCTCCATCACCTTCTCCGCTCCTCCTCCTCTCCTTCCTACTCCATCATCCCCTCCTCCTCCTCCTCCTCCTGCCCCCTACTCCTCCATGACCTTCTTCATTCTATCTCCATCACCTTCTCCGCTCCTCCCCCTCCTCCCCTTCTCCTCCTCGCCCTACTCCATCTCCTTCTCCCCTCCTCCTCCTCCTCCTCCTGCACCCTACTCCTCCTCCATGACCGTCTTCATTCAATCTCCATCAACTTCTCAGCTCCTCCTCCCCCTTCTCCATCACCTTCTCTCCTCCTCCTCCTCCTCCTGCCCCCTACTCCTCCATGACCTTCTTCATTCTATCTCCATCACCTTCTCCGCTCCTCCCCCTCCTCCCCTTCTCCTCCTCGCCCTACTCCATCACCTTCTCCCCTCCTCCTCCTCCTGCTCCTGCCCCCTACTCCTCCTCCATGACGGTCTTCATTCGATCTCCATCTCAGGGGCAGGTACGTTTATGTAAACACAGGGTACATTATATGCTGAGATACAGGTCTGGTACACTTGTGTATACATATACGTACGTCGGATATATATCTGTAGTACCTGATACGATAACGACCCCTTCAGCCAAAGTAACCAGTAAGACTACTCACCCAGCACACTCAGCCAGTGAGGCCCGTAGGGTCTATGTCCCCCAGGGTACTATCAGAGGGTACTCTGGGTACGGTTCGATATATCGGAACGTACCCTGGTACTATCTAATATGCCGGACCATACCTCGCCTACTCCACTAACGAGTCTAGGGAGTCGCCTACGCCTACTCCCTAACCCTAACCATATCAGATAGTTACCAGGGTACGTTCCGATATATCGAACCGTACCCAGGGTACCCTCCGATAGTACCCTGGGGGACATAGACCCTATGAGCGCCAGTGAGAGAGCAGTAAAACACAAGATTCCACCATTCTGGTTTTCTATAAGTGCATGCTACTTTCTTCTTCTCAGTCTGGCTGATCTGCACGCTAACATTCTACCCAACTGTCTGACCCCTTAACAATCCAAAGGTTAATCAAAATTTAAGATGGGAAATAAATTATGTATATATATTCTCACACTTGAGCTAGATATTTTTTTTACAATTACCAACTTTTCATCAACACTCTTTTTCAGTAATTACACCAAAAACGTCAGTGCCCCAAACAATTTCTTACTACCTATCCTAGGTGTTTTATGCTGAAAAGAACATCACAGTTGTATATAACATTTATCAAATACAACAAATGGTTAAATATATTAATACTTATCATATACTAACAATATTAACAGCATAATATCTGTATGTTTTCACAGACACATGTATCACAAATCATCATTGAGCTAGCCAATGTTGGTAAGAATTGCGCATTCAAATTAAAATATTTATATGTCATGGTTTTTCAGGTTGGTTCATGTGCTCATCGACATTCTGTCTAATATTCTTTATATAAAACAAACTCTCACCAGGTTAATGTTACTGTAGTAACATGCAAAGCTGCCGTTCCAATTTTGACAAATTAAATCCCTAATAATATATCTATGTTATAGTGCCTATCTCCTGCTCACATGTTAAGCATGAAAACTGTGTACATGTTAAGTACACATACGTATGTATGTAATGTATACATACGTATACATGGGGGTGGGGTAATTATCATCACCGAAAAGTAATGTATACGTGATCCAGATATCAGATAGCCATATCCACAAACATAACCAATAAACTCATTTCAATATTACATCAGGGGTAAATAAAAAGTAAATGTTTTTTTAGGTTTTTGTTGTTGTTTGCAAATAAAGCTTTTATTCACTCCTGATTACCGTATATGATCGTGTAATAACCGCGGGCGCCTATAAGCCGCACCTCAATTTATACTAGGTAACCAAGTATTGCGCCTAGTATATTTCCCCTCACGGTATGGCACACTTATAAACCGCAGAGCAAATACAGGGTTAAAATCTGAGGCCAAATTTGCGGTTATTACGCGAGTATATATATACGGTACATGCTTATTTAACACTGATGTACAAAATGTACTGAGCGACAATGACCAACCATAACATTTAGCATCACGGTCGCAGCAAAGTTCAGCTTTTGTTTTTGCGACACAATGGCGAACATTTATTTCGATACGAAATGTTTTTGTTATGTGTCAAAAAACATCTATGGCTGTAATTGGCTACTTATTAAATTTAGCTTGACTATATCGCTAGAAATTATAAACGATTTGAAATATTTTTGTTGTTATGGTTATCGCCAGATGTTATCACGCGATAGCAGCGTGTGCAGCAGCTCATTACAAGCATTGTTTCTCATTTTCTCACACATTGCCAAACAATATCATGAATCATTGTCGCTGCGGTGTCTTAACCTTAATTTGTGAACTACAGATTCATTTTGATCCAATTGAGCCTGTACACAGTTCGCTGGTCTGTTTGTAGCAGCACCTCCAACTGCATTTATCTGACACGCCGTATCTTTCTGTCAACCACAAACTCACCAACTGGAGATGCACAATTTGGTGGCAGCAAAGCAAGGTAAACTGGTGTGTCTGCCCCTGCAATGTCAATAATGCAATAATATAAAAACACAAAATGCACATTAAAGTGACAAATAACAACTTTGGTACCAATCACCACAAGCACCACAGGGGCACAGGGCTGGCTTGTCCACTGCTGCTGTTTACCACTACTTCACACGACTTCTCAATAAATGCTGTTAGTGCTACGTACTGCTACAGCTACTGATGTCCTCCTCCTCCCCCTCCTCCCCCTACTCCATCACCTTCTCCCCTCCTCCTTCTCCTCCTCCTCCTGCCCCTTACTCCTCCTCCATGACCGTCTTCATTCGATCTCCATCTCAGGGGCAGGTACGTTTATGTAAACACAAGGTACATATCTGGGTACAAGATACAGGTCCGGTACACTTGTGTATACATATACGTACCTCGGGTACATATCTGTAGTACCGGATACGACAACGACCCCTTCAGCGCTACTGCTGCTACTACTACGACTGCTGTTGCTGCTGCTGCTGCTACTACTACTACTGCTGCTGCTGCTGCTGCTGCTGCCACTGCCGTCGCTGGTGCTGCTGCTGCCGCTGCCACTGTTGGTGCTGGTGCTGCTACTGCTGCTGCTGCTGTAATTGCTATCTGCTATCTGCTATCCCCACTACCATTACTGCAACTGCTGCTTCTTTTACTTTTAGGAAGGATGCATTCATCTTGTGAAATAGATGGTAAAAATGTGAAATTCATAGATATTTTTGCATTTTACTGGACAGTTACCCAGCGCAGGACTCTTCACGCCGCGGTTTCCTGTGAGGTTTGTTTTTACCCAGCCTGGGCAGCACTGAAATAATAAACAGCCGATATTTCAATTGATCAACTTATCAGCAAACACTCTTATTCATAATGAATAAAATTGTAAGTTTCAGCAGGAGAATATGGATTTAACAATATTGAAAAATCCAGTTTTGCAATAAGAGTACATCTGCATTCATCATAATCATGTTAACAACATGATTCACACACGATCGTTTCTAGAACATCACATTGTATGCTACTATAAATTCTATAAAAAATTCTTACAGAGTTAACAATAACATCTTCATGGCTATCTTCTGCAAGTTCACGAGCCTGGACACGAGTTGCAGCCATAACTAAAGTCTTGGACACGCTGTAAGCGTCTGGCCAGTCCTTTTGTTCCTCTAAACCTTGCTCTACGTCACTGCACGAAATCAAAAACACGTCTTGCTAATCAATGCTGTAGCACTGGCTTTTATTCATTACATAGTATTGAATCATGGATATAACATCATATTGCACACACTTATGAATGTATCAATTATGTTTAGAATTTCAAATTATAAAAGTAATAACTATAACCCAATCGTTATTTAGTACGAGACACATTTAACATGTACTTATACATTTAACGTTCATAATATCAACAACAGTTCCCGCTGAGCAACTAACATGGCATCTCACATTATAAATCAATCTAAATATCAAAAACTTTTACACATTGGAGTGCTAATTATATTAAGCAGATATAATAATATTGGGCGGGGTGAGGGCAGGGTGATGATTACCGTAGATACTCCTCTGCAAGGTTGACTATGTCTTGCATGGTTAATTCTCCGGACATTAGTTTCTCCCTAACCTCTTCATTGTTGTTGTAGTTTAGCAAACCAAGAGTACTTGCTATATTGACGATTCTAAGAAAAGATAGGTAATGAGTACGTTTTGATTCTACTCAAAAAGGAACATAAGAAATATAACAAGTGCCGCAGAGCGACAGCGCTCATCTAACGTCTACTGCGGTGACTCTGTGGTGGAGTGGTGGGATTCTAGTAAACCCTGTTAGTCCCAAATGTGTTCACATACACGCCGAAACAATGGAAGGCACAGGGATGCCATGAGAAACCTTCTCAAAGGAATGTTCGTTGGGATCGTTATGAAAGTTGC